AAAAGCTACAAAATTTGACCTTAACCTTTGATCCAGTGACCTTGACCTATGACCTTTGGTCAGTTGACTCCTTGTTTAATTCTGATCAACTTTGCTTCATCATGTCATAATAAATTGTTAAGCAGTAAAAAGATACAAAATCTGACTTTGACCTTTGATCAAATGACCTTGACCTTCGATAAGTTGACTTCTTGTTGTATTGTGACCAACTTTGCTTCATAATGTCATTACAAAATGTTTACCAGTAATTAAAGAGCTAAAAAAAATATTTTTTTAATGTTAAAATCCATTATGGCTGATTAGCAGCCATTTTGAAACAGATCTGCCGAAAAATTACCAAGCAGAACTAGGATGCATGGGAAATCATCATGTAAAATTTTAAAAACTTACTCCATTTACTTCCATCAATAATGTACAAAAGAAAAAAAATGCACAGACAGACAACCTGATTACTATAAGGGCACGTACCCGCATCTTCGATGTGGGGCCCTAGTAATTATTGAAATCAAAATTCCAAAAGAAAGCCATTTTCATTTCAGCTTGTAAACATATAAAGGCTGTCAAATTTTAATAAGGTTAGACAAAAGACAGAGGAGACTTATGAGATTACAAAAGCTTAAACAAAAGATCACAAAATCAGTACCTTAAATCAATGAACTTACCTTTGTTTGATTTGTTTTCGGCACTAATTCTCTTTGCAGCAGGGGGTTGAGGGGGAGGTTCATGGACCAATGAGCTGGAGCTGAAACTTCTTCATCTGTTGTTTCTGTCTGTTTTTCCCCCCATCAGTGTACACAGCTCTTGTTATCATCTAGACAAAGAGAAATATAAGAAAAAATGTGGAATTCTCTAATTTAACTGATGTATATACTGAGCTATACATATATAAGATTTCTGTAGGGAACAGGTTAAGGACATGCAGTGTGGAAGGAGAGGGATCAGTCAACTTTACTGTGGAATATTTAAAATGGCACACTTCAGTTTTTAAAGAATTTTTTTTTTTCCCTTTCAAGTCATAGGAATATCAAGTTATTTTAATAACACTAAACAAAAGAAGCATAAACATCAGTTTTATCAAGTTGAAAGAATTCGAAATTTTTACTCACAAAAATGAAATAAAATTCGATATTTTTTCAAAGGACGTCATTAAACAATATTTGATGAAGAATGCAGAATTTGAACAGTGCATGTTACTTGCATGTCATTTGCTTAAAAAACTGTCAGATATCTCTCTTTAAATTTCCTTTTTGAAAATGAATGTTTTTAATCTTTTTAACAATATATGAAGATTATAAAAACAACACCGCATCCATTGTACTGCTGACATTTCTATTTTGGGTACTCTTACGTTTCAATTCAAATACAGTACTACTAATTAAGGACAGATTAACAAAAAATAAGTAAGAAACCATTTAAGTAGAAATTATTCAATCTTAAAATATATTGATAGGAAATTAAAATGCATTTCTTGTCATGAAGGAGAAATTCCAATAATTATTTAAATATTTGTAAAGTGTTTGTTAACTTTATAACATGTACTAACTGATATATAAAAACGAAAAAGTGTATACTTGTATAGGAAAAATATATATTCGGCACGGGGTTTGAGTATATATTAAGCTAGAAATTAAACATCACACTGAAATATCCTACCTTTCCCCGAAGAACAAAGAATAAACAAATACCGAAAATCGTATTATACACCGAAACGGATTCTGGTAAGTAGATCTACTTTCCGAATTGTAAACAAATATAGTAGCTCAGTAAACGAAATTTTAATCGGTACCGAAATAATCGGTGTTTTTTAACAGATAGTACTGCCGTCTGCCCATCTCTAAAGATCATACATATATTATATAAAAAAAAAAACATCCATCGTCTCAGTCATGGTACTGTATTTATTTAATAAATTTGATATGTTTAGTTCCACTGTCTTCAAGGAATGATGAAGTTGGTATCGTCTTCCCAGTAAACCAAAACACGTTTACTTCTTGTGACTCGCCGGGTTAGAGTTCAAAATCTAGAGGTCGATCGAATACGAAATTTACCCGCGCGCTTTTCATTGGCCAATTTGATAAGGCTATTTATAGTCACACGAGATTACTTTTTCGCATAGGGCTTCGCTTTAATAACGATAAAGTCCTACCTCATATTAATCATAACTATTTATTGTTAAATACAAATAGTATGGACACAACAATAACAATTGAAAACAAAAAATATTCCCTTTTTAACAATAATCAAGCAGCAGTCGTAAGTTGTTTACGACAATAACGTAAAACTTTGGAACGATTTCCGGCACCATGCTGTCGAATGTATGTCTTTTTCAATGAAAACACGGGAAATCAACTTCTTATGCAATTAAGAAACTATTGCTTAAATGATTAAATGCACAGGTCTTCCTTCTGAAGTAATATTTTCATTGAAATCGGCATGATTTTCAGACATGACTGGTCAAGGTAACCGTGAATATTTGTGAAAGACATGCTCGTTGTCTTATCGGAATTTGTGTTCGGTAGGCCTAATTATTTTAATATTTTGATATACAGTCCTACAGCAATTAACTGCACCACATGTTTTGTTAAGACTTACAGGTATGACCAGCAAGCGATGGTCGATCTATTGTTTTCCGCTGACTGGGGTGAAGCGAGGTGTGAAAAATTTACCTAGAGTGGACCGATGATTACCTCGGGCGATGTACAATTAGCCGGACCTATTACGTAATTGTCCAGATGTTTCACACGGACAACTTACTTATAAAATCCATTCACAGCAGAAAAAAACCTCATAATAAGCGGGCCCTACCTTTGACCATATAATAATAAACGATATTTTTTTGCCTAGATAAAGAAGGAAAAAAATCGGTACATGGGGGGGGAAAATATCATAATAACCGATATATATACATAATAAATGGGTTCCACTGTACTAAAAATGTTCTAACTTTATAAAGTTATACCAAAGTTTTTCACAAGTATTGGCATTTTTTTCTAAGTCCAGAAAAGGTACTAGAGCAACGGAGGGTGTTATCGACAGGGGGGTATTATCGACCCCCGGTTCTATTTATCTCGTTTTGGATCGATTACGAACCGTTTTTCAGACACTCAGTGTTTTTGATAGGTACACGTACCTTTTTCGGAATCCCTCGGAACTGTTCCATTCAGACAACACCGGTTAAACAAATTTTCTGAACTTTTTTTTCCCAAAGAGAACATTCAAATTTTTGTTTTTAAACCTTCCTTACGGGCCCCGATAAGACATGTTTGGCACTTCGAATTTTATTAACATTTTTTTCTGAAATATTTGTCACATAATGGTGTAATCCAACTTCACTCATGAAGCGTCTGCAACGTTTGTCAGCGTATTATCTACATCCGGGGTATTGATAAGGTCGGAAATAGGGTTGTCGATAACTGCCGCAATTTGGGGATCGGAGGTAGTTATCGACAGTATGTAAAAAAAATACCAATGAATTTTTGTTTTATCCATTAAAAGCATATTTTTATCAATGACTTGTACTTCAAAGTTGCCTGTATGATTTCAATATATATATATCGTGAATTGTGAAAGGTGAGAACATGTGCCCGACAACAATAGTATGCTAAAGTCTATCCAGTAAACAGACATAACTTTACAAGCATAACTAAAATACTAAAAAATCCAAATTTTCTCAATAAAATCCATGTAGATAAGTCTTGTAAATATGCTCAATATAAACTGCAATTACAAATTATGAAAAATATCAATATTTGAAGACACTGCAGTCATATATAGATAGAATATAATATTTATGAAAAGTAATCGATTACATAGATCAAATGTTGATGAAAATTGTTCTGTTAGGCAGGAGGTATATAACTAATTATCTTGTGAACATTAAGAACCTAAAAACATTTCCACAATGATTATTTCAAGAAGATTCAATTATGTTTTCTTGAATTAAATTTCTGATATCTCTCAATGTAGGATAAATGCATCATAATTCAAAAAAATTGGGCTGTTGGAATGCATCACTGGGGATCAAAATAACATGAAATTGGGGTGGGACACCATATTGAAAGGGAACCAGAAAATGTGTTTGTTCAAAATGCCGTGATGGTGACTGTTTGCGCATGCGTGCAGAAAAGGGAGCATGTTTGTTTACATTTATGACTTAACATATCACTTGACATGTTTATACCTTTTTTAAACAATTGGACACACGTCATAACAAATGAATGTATAATTAGAGATTAATAATAGAAATAATTAACATCTGTTGAAACTACCAGCAAAATATTATTATAAGATTCTTTCTATGCTTTTTGATTCTTTTATCCCTGTTATCTTGTAAGTAGGTCAATGTCAGTTTCCTTCTCAAATTGGTTAGCTCCATTCCAAAAAGCTACCAGCCAAATCTTATGAATCCATTCCTTTTAGTTCTCAAGAACAAATCCATTAAAATGTTGTTGACCTCTGTGACCTCTAAAGTAGGTTGAGGTCATTTTCATTCGCAAACTTTGGTGAGTTCTATCCCAGGAAGTCACCAGCCAAATATTATAATTTTATGCCTTTTAATTCTTCAGGAAAAGCTGTTTGAACTGTTTGACATATTTAAACACTGTGACCTTGAAAGTAGGTCAAGGTCATTTTCATTCGCAAACTGTGTTTGGCTCTTTCCCAGGAAGCCACCTGCCAAATATTAAGATTTTATAACTTCAAGTTCTTCAGAAGAAGTCGTTTAAAGTGTTTGACATATCTGCCTCATGTGACCTTAAAAGTAGGTCAGGGTCATTTTCATTCTCAAACTTTGTTCTGCTCTGTCCTAGGAAGCTACAAGCCAAATATAGAGATTCTATACCTTTCAGTTTTTCAGAAGAAGTCGTTTGAAGTGTCCGACACATTTGACCCCTGTAACCTTGAAAGTAGGTCAAGGTAATTTTCATTCTCAAACTTTGTTGGGCTCCATCCAAGGAAGCCATCAGCCAAATATGAAGATTCTATACCTTTTTGTTCTTCAGAAGAAGTCGTTGGAAGTTTTTGATATATTTGACCCCTGTAACCTTGAAAGAAGGTCAAACTAATTTTCATTTTCAAACTTTGTTGGGCTCTATCCCAGGAAGCCACCAGCCAAATATAAAGATTCTATACCTTTCAGTTCGTCAGAAGAAGTCGTTTGAAGTGTTTGACACATTTGACCCCTGTGACCTTGAAAACAGGTCAAGGTCTTTTACGTTCTCAAACTTTGTAGGGCTCCTACCAACGAAGCTTTCAGTCAAATATCATGACTCTAGGCCTGTCCGTTCTTCAGAAGAAGTTGTTTAAAGGAAAAGTTGACAGACGAGGACAGACGGACGAGGACGGACGGACGATGGACGCCGCACCATGACATAAGCTCACTTGCCCTCGGGCAGGTGAGCTAATAACCAGCAAAACACACTTCCACAGGGATGGGATTCACCTTACAAACACAGGGATGGGAATCACCTTACAAACACAGGGCCTGGTGTGTTATTGAGGAACATCAATGAGTATCTACATATTCTCAAGCAGGTAAAGAGAACAAGCAGTGTTAACTTTCACAAACCAGCACCCAATGAATCATAGCATGGAGGCAATTCCCATTTCACACAACAAAAGGAACAGTACTGTGGTTATTGTGGTGAACCAAACCACATTACCAGAGCATGCAGACATAAGGCGTATGAGTGTGGCCAATATGGACACAAGGAGAAATTTTATAAACTATATTAATGAAGGGTGGCAAAGAAGACAAAGCCATCACCCGGAAACATAGTAGTGGTTACTCCTTGGATACATAATAGTGATTCCTCCTTGAATACATAGTAGTGGTTCCTCCTTGGATACATAGTAGTGGTTCCTCCTTGGATACATAGTAGTGATTCCTCCTTGGATACATAGTGGTTCCTCCTTGGATTTAACAGTGTAAAGCAGTGATTTAGCAGAGTACAGCAGTGATTTAGCAGTGTACAGCAGAGATTTAGCAGAGTACAGCAGTGATTTAGCAGTGTACAGCAGTGATTTAGCAGTGTACAGCAGTAATTTAGCATTGTACAGCAATGATTTAGCAGA